GATCAGACCAACAATAAAGTATTAACGGCATACCTGGACCGGAACTGCCCAATCCTCACTTTCGAGCCTCGATCGAATTCAGAAACATTTGCCTCGGCCTTGTAGGTGATTAAATTTTTTCCAACCTCTTTCCCATAGACAGAATCTTTCTAGCCTTTCGTTGCTCTGCTGCAATTTTCATGGTAGATGTTTGGGCCAAATACATTCCTTGGTTTAAACAGTGCAGACCTTCACTGCTAGAAGCCGTCTTGCCACGTACCTTGAGTCGTCACATCTCCGTCATTCCCTTCATACTCTATTGGTAAGAACTCTTTATCTCCGACGAGATGTAGCAAGCCTCTCAGTACTCTATCGCTGTTCCTAAGGTAAGTGCTCGGTATTTACCTTTACTTACCATTGACCCAAGTTGTGACGCAAGTTTGGTTTTAACGTGGGAATCCGAGTGTCTCCACTCGTGCCGGTGTTCCAATCTGGTGTTAGCTGGTCATAGCTTGTTTAAGCTGGTTATAGCTCGTCATACCACCGTTACGGAACAGCTGTTACTGAACAAGTCCGAGGACTTGTTCAGTAACAGCTGTTCCGTAACGGAACAAAATGGGAGAGAAAGGCCTCCGGCATGGAACAGATACTACAACCGCCCCTCCGGAAGAAGCGCCCCTTCCATGGAAAGTGCTTTGACAAAATACATTTCTTAGTTTCTTCATTTCTAATCTTCACAGCTAGAACCTGCCATACTACGCACCTTGTACCGAACCACCCTCATTCCCATTCGTATTTCATCAGTAAGTTCCACTCGAGCAGCTTCTTGCTGCGGACCACTGCTCTGTGAAACCGACTCCCAAGAGCTTGTTTTCCTGATCACCCCAATCTTAACCTGTTCATGTTTGAGCTAAACGTAATCTTACCCACATATCTGTATAAACTGTGCCTCTAACTCTACCTCGAGTGGCTCTTGGGCTATGTACAGGCTAAACTTTAGTGTAAAAAATGTTTTTTGTAGTTCTTAATTACGTTAAAGTTCTTCGTTGCGTACTGTTTTCTTACCATCCTCAGGTAGAACGATGTCATGCCCTCCCTTTTCTTAATCAGTGAGGCTATGTCTCCAGTGTTCACTAAAAAAGGAGAGTAGTTGTTACATAACAATTCAGCACACTTTTCCTTATTTACATTATTCGGACTATTGTCTTCATCTTTGTCGCCATATTTATTACAACGTTTCGGCCGTTGTACGCTCCGGCCTTCTTCAGGTGGCTCCGGCCTTCTTCCTCAAGGACACATGGCACAGTGGATAAAGTTGTTGGATACATCCAGTGACAGAACCCAAAGAGTGTGAGTTCAATACCCGGCTAAGGCAGGGAAAATTAACAGGAGATAACTGATAACTGACATCCATTAAACATGGCACGTGGAACTAGAACAGTCTACCCCAGTGAGCGAAATAAAGAGTTCAGTTCGACATTCCAACCACCTGAAGAAGGCCGGAGCGTACAACGGCCGAAACGTTGTAATAAATATGGCGACAAAGATGAAGACAATAGTCCGAATAATGTAGATAATGTACGTAATACCTCATCTCAGAAATATAGACACACTTTTCCTTGTTTTTAACGAAATTTTCATGTTTCTTAATACTTGTTCATATCTATCTATATATCTCAGGCACACACCAGTCTTATTCAACTTTGTGTTGCTTGGCTGTTATTTCAGAGTTTCAGGGTGGGTGGGGAGATAGCTTCACAATTTTAGACGTTGATTAAATTATGTTTACTTTCCAGCCATTTATATGTTCAATCCCTGGGTCTGGGCAGTGTTGCAAAACCACATGCTCCCGTTCAGTGGAAGTGAAGATAGAAAATATTATCTGATATCCCCTAATCGTGCAAATAATGAGACATATGAGCACTGTTTTCATACCATTCTTAGGTAGAACCACATCGTTGCCACTCGAAGCCTTTTCTTCATTAGAGAGGTTAAGTTTCCTGTATTCACTTATAAATGCGAGTAGATGTTACTTAGCAGTTCAACACTATTTTCCTTGTCTATAACGATATGTAGCTGTTTCTTAATATCTTGCTTAGGTTCTTGAAGGCACCTTTCACTATCCCAATACGCCTTCTGATTTCAGTGACGCATATTTCTTCAACTGTTAAAAGACTTCCGGAATATTGTAGTTTTTTTTTATTCGCTTGAGTCTCGTGTCTGTAATTATTTGGCCGTTTCTTTTGCCGGCAAAAGCCGACGTCTTGGTTTCTAACGAACTTCATCATCTGCCCCCGTGTATGATGTTCTTTTATTGTCCTCTCTCACTTCAGTAATATCTTCTCATTACTTTTTTTCACTCTCAGTAACCCCTTACGTCTTAGGTGTTTTTAAAAATTCCTTTGGGTGAATAGGATGTGTACTGTGGTGTAACGGAAATCGACTCGGCATGCGAACTTGGAGAGTCGTGTTTGAATTCCCGAAGAGTTCGTCATATTCACGATAATACCCTTGAGAAAGCTATGACTCTATCACTTCTCTCCACGCCGGCTATGTGTTGAATATCAGAACAGACTGGATTCGATAGCCTTGGCTGGCAACCAGTCTGACGCAGAAAGAAATGAGAAACGTACTGCTGGAAAAAAAAACAAAAATCTTCTGCCTACTCAGTTAGGAATCGAAAGAAACATGATCGCCCAAACGTGTATCACGTATGGCACTTAACTCGGGTAAAATAATTTTTCCCTCTTAATACTTTGCTTAATTTCAGGAAGGCATCTTTCGCTATTCCTATTCGCTTCCCGATTTCTTTGTCACATTTTCTGTTGTGAATAGAGCGTCTACTTGATTCTTACATCCCAGTACGCATTTTATACATTGGGCTGTCGCTTTTCCTGAAAACCATACATTCTGTCTAATATAAAATATACAAGTCCTTTCTTTTTACTTTCATTTGCTACCTTTCTGTGTCTGCAATCAACACAATTCTATCCGTATTTATTGCTGCCGTATCTGCTCTGGAACACCTGTAATGTATCTTGAGATTCTAAATAAAATCCAAAGTAATCTGGCATCTCGACTTCAGTCACTTTCCCATCGCCGTTTCATGGGTCCTAATGAGCTCTACCCTTTGGTACCTTGATGGCACAAATTTAAACATACTGCCAGATTGGCGTCTAAGTCTCGTGGTTTTACCGTTGAAATTGCTAGATATAGACGTAAGTTCTATTCTAATAGTTTCTTTTCACGTACTTCTCGCCTGTGGAACTCTCTTCCAGTTTCATGTTTCTCCGCCGTCTACGTTCCACAAAAATTTAAATACAACATCGATCGCCATCTTCTATCTTCCTGAAACCTGTTCTTTTATTGTTTTTTTTTTCTCCTCACTAAAGTCTTCTCATTCACGTACACTCTCAGTACCCCTTGCGTCTTAGTGGCATTATCGCCTTTCTTTGGGGAGATGGAATGATTAAAGAAAATCTTTTAATGTTGTTAAAATTATGTCCACAAAACATAAATTGTGGTAGTTCATCTAATTCTCTTAGGATTGTCTCGCTGTGTAGTTTAAGTAAATAGGCACGTGGCCGAATGGTTAGAACGATAATTTACCTACCATGAGACCGGTGTTCGAATCTTACGATAGTCTATTTGTCAGGAGGACGCCTTCTTGATGTTATCGGCCTGTAGATACGATTCCAGCGTGTGTCACATTTGGAAAGTGCCTGAAAGTTAAACCAAGTCTTGTGAGTGAAATTGGGTAGACGTAAATATTTGGGAGTCGTCGATGATTGTACTAACACGAAATCACAAGTCATCATAACCTAGGGCTTGAGCTTCTTCTTCTGTATGTGTCATATCCCTTCATGGCGTACGACGATCATGGCTCTCCACAATTTCTTTTCATTTGCAGCTATAAATGAATTATGTTCCGCTATCCATTTTTTTCAACTCGTCAAGTATGTTATGGGTTGTTTCCTTTGTCCATCTTGCCTGGAAATCCGTCCTGTGAATAACAGATTTTCCAGAGCCTACTCTGGCAATGTTCAGATTGTTGATCACGCCAAATAATGCGCTCTCTTCCAGAAAATCTAACTATGGTCTACACAGTATAGTTGCACTGGGTGGGCTCTGTGAGTGTTGAAAAAAATGTGACTAAGCAGGCGCCCGCAAGAAGGATTAACTATCAGGCAGGCATACTTGGATACGACCGGCCAGCGATGACAGTTTAAATAATTCTGATGGTAAAACGCGTCCTTTTCTGGCTGTTTCCCTATTTTTGTCTATTAACAAAATTCATTTTCTCTCTTCATACAGGATGTTCGTTCATAGTGACCGCCGACCGCAATGTGTTCATACCTCACTTTAATAGATCGATTGTCTGTTCATATGTACCTCTCTGTCTGTTGGTTGATTTTGTTTAGCGGCATAACAGCTTCTATGGGTTATTTAATGCCGAAATCTAAATATTTTGGACATAATTTTATGGTTTCAACTAAACCTATATGTAACGCAATTGTATGCCTTGAACTACAGATAAAAGGTATTGTTAGTCATTTTTCTATAAAATATATTGTTGATAATTTTACTATAAAATGTTTTTGGTAATTCTGCTGAAAAATCTATGGCTGATAATTTTACGATAAAAATCTATTTTTTATACTTACATAGTCTTTTGTTTTTATTTCAGGTTCACTATATGCTCATATCTGGGACAATAACAGGTGCTACTGCCTCGGGTCATGGGAACAACAGCAATTAACAGATAATTCCCCGATCCTCAAAACTTCTAATCTCCCGATCAAAGTCCTTGCTGCCGGATGTAGTTTATCGTCATACCCAGAACTGCTCTTTGTCTATCACACAGAATGGGCTTGCTGGGTGTCTAGACACCAACCCGGGTATTTCTACGTTCCCTTAGACTTTGTTAGGATATCTATTTAGGAGAAGAATACCTCGTATATTACAATTCAACTTCAGCGATGAAGTGTGTCGTGTTTCTGCTTCATTCTGGAATATGTGGTATGTTTCGTGTTGTCGTTGTGGTTTTGTGAATGATACATTGGCGACTATAAGTCAGAACCAGAGTAGCTAATGATTCCATAGATATGTGGTTCACATAGTAGTGTAGACTAGGATAACTAGCTATGCATGGCAACAACTCTGAGAGAAGAAAAAATCTGAATAAAAACGTGTATGTAGTAGTGGGATATCATGTCTGTTTCTTTCTATCTATCTATCTATCTCGATCTGCTCATATCTATCTATCTATCTATTTCAGTGTGCTCATATCTATCTATCTATCTATCTATCTATCTATCTATCTCGATCTGCTAATATATATCTATCTATCTATTTCAGTGTGCTCATATCTATCTATCTATCTATCTATCTATCTATCTATCTATCTATCTCCATCTATCTATCTATCTATCTTTCATGTGCTCATATCTATGTCTCTCATCTATCTATCTATCTATCTATCTATCTATCTATCTATCTATCTATCTATGTCTGCTCATATCTATCTATCTATCTATCTATCTATCTATCTATCTATCTATCTATCTATCTCCATCTGCTCATATCTATCTATCTATTTCAGTGTGCTCATATCTATCTATCTATCTATCTATCTATCTATCTATCTATCTATCTATCTCAATCTGCTCATATCTATGTCTGCTCATTTCTATCTATCTATCTATCTATCTATCTATCTATCTATCTATCTATCTCAATCTGCTCATATCTATCTATCTATCTATCTATCTATCTATCTATCTATCTATCTATGTCTGCTCATATCTATCTATCTATCTATCTATCTATCTATCTATCTATCTATCTATCTATGTCTGCTCATATCTATCTATCTATCTATCTATCTATCTATCTATCTATCTATCTATGCTTCTGCGTGTATATTTGTTTCAGTGTCCATGTATTAATTTCCCTTGTATCAGTCTTCCCCCCCCCATATGTGGCATCGTATATATCACCATTTATTCTATTCTACTTTTTTCTTGATGATTCTCAATATCTACTTCGGAAGTGTTGCAGCCTCTCATCTTGTCTCATTCAACGCTTTCGCTTTGTCGACAAACGGAAAGCCTTCTTTGTAGCCAGGAGTCAAATTACACCGCGTAAAATGCGACAGAAACAACTACTCAGTCAATACCTCACATGTAATAATGTAAGCAAATAAATGGAAAATTATGAAAATTAGAAACGATTTTCTGAATATTAAACACTTATTAGCAACTATGGAAATTCATTGCACGATATTTTTCTTTACAATTTTTCAAGTGGACAGGAAAGGAATTCTACAGAGAAAAAACATTGCAAAACTTTATCCTATCATTTTATTTTTTATTTTCCTTTCTTACAAGACAATTTGTTGTTCGAATAACTATTGCCCAAACAGCTTCAAGTGATTTCACAATAATGTGATTTGATATCTTTTGTCGGAATTTTTAGATGAGGGATTTATTATTATTATTATTATTATTATTATTATTATTATTATTATTATTATCATGATATGCTTTGCTATTCAAATAAATTATGCCCATCTTCGTTGTTATATTCACAACATTTCTGTCCTTGTACTGATTGACCTTCTTCAGTTGTATGCTTTCGTACTCCGTAACATTCTTGGGATTTCAAAACGAAATCTTTGTCTAATCCGCGGTGATAAATTGCTCTCATTCCCCTTTCTATGATTAGAAGTTATTTTTTTATCTGTTGTTTGTTCATATCTATCTATCTATCTATCGATAGATAGATAGATAGATAGATAGATAGATAGATAGATAGATAGATAGATACACAATCTTATTAAGCTCTTTGCCGCTTGTCTGTTACTTCCGAATTTCGAAAGGACACATATCCTCTTAATTTAAAACGTTGCCTAAAACATATCTAGTTCTCTGCAAGGATAGCAAATATATTATCTGATATGAAATATTCTTTAATCGGGGAAAGTGAAATGAGACAAATTTAACCCCGGTGGATTAAATAAAGGTTTCGTTTCGAAATTACAAGAAGTTTACAGAGTAGGAAAACAGACTCCTGAAGAAGACCAAAGTGTACAAAGACCGAAGCGTCGTGAGTATAACAACCAAGAGAAGCATGCATAGGGAAACTGCAAAACATATTGTTATGGTCCGGTTCCTTGTACCACGGTGATAGTCCAAGGTAGAACCAATAAAGATGAACTCGAACATGGATATGGAATAACACAGATATATTACAAACAAGAATATATTCAGTACAGAGAAGTAGAAGTGTTATTACGAACAATCAGGTTTAGTAGGGAGGACAATGTAGTCTCGACCAGTATCACTATTCCAATGTCTTGTAATTGTCTGAACGCGACTCTATTACGAACTGCCTCTGACTCGACTCTTGACTCGACTTGAACTACTGACTAGACTTGAACTACTGACGATATGCAGTCACTCCCCCACGAGGGCATCATGTGGCACAAAGCCGGTTTAACATGGGATCTCCGAGTCCCTGGGATCGGCCAAAAATATGCCCATTGAACCCGGATAAACGGGTTCAGGGTCGGTTTACCTCCCCGAAAGAGAATCCGCCCTTCGGCGTAGCCTCGTTCGGGTTCCTCCCCGCCCGAAGGCAGAGAGTTCAACCGGTCTATCGTTCAAGACTTGAACGACTGACTATATTTAGTCATCTCCCCACGTGGGCATCATGTGGCACAAGGCCTTTTTAGCGTGGGAACACCGAGCCCGTGGGCTCGGCCAAAAATATGCCCATTGAACCCTCTATAAACGGGTTCAGAGTAGGTTTACCCGCCGAAAGAGAATCCGCCCCTCGGCGTAGCCTCGTTCGGGTTCCTCCCCACCCGTAGGCAGAGAGTTCAACCGAACAGTCGGTTCAGACTTGAACGACTGACGATATTCAGTCACTCCCCCACGAGGGTGTCATGTGGCACAAGGCCTTTTTAACGTGGGCCGTCCGAGCCCGTCGGATCGGCCAAAAATATGCCTATTGAACCCGGATAAACGGGTTCAGGGCCGGTCTACCTCCCCGAAGAAGACTCCGCCCTTCGGCGTAGCCTCCTTCGGGTTCCTCCCGTCCGTAGGAAGAGAGTACAACCGAACAGTCGGTTCAGAGTTGAACGACTGACTCCTTGCCTACTCCTGAGGCGCTGTATTTATTAAGTATCGAATTGTCCATTATTATTATTATTATTATTATTGGTAAGATCCCATAACACATATAATAATGATAATTCCACGTAGAAAAGTTTGGGATTTAAAGCCGATTGAGAAATATCTACCCCATGAATTGAAAAAAAAAATGCTTTAGTTTTTAACTTTCAATATGACACCAAGTACGAAAAACGACAACTAAAGAATGACGCTGTAAACATCCGCTGAATGAGCATGCTGTTCTGAATAGCATGGAACATAATAATCCACGAAGGTTTGTGTGTCTGTAGTTGGGGGTTAAACATATCCTTTAGGTTAAGTGGCACTCACCTATATATGAATAGGGCTTACGACCGCAAAATGTTGAAACATTGGTTCCCGTACGATTACCGGTTAAGTAACGTCAAGTCTGGTTAGTACCTAGATGGGTAACAGTTTGGAATGTCATGTGCAATAAGCTTGAATGTTCGGGTGGTGTAATTGATTTTAGTTCAGAATTGATAATCGTAGAACCGAGTTCCAATTCCCTTTGGGTTGGTCATATTAACTTACGCGCAAATCCCCCTGGGAAAGTTATGAATCCACCTAGTCTGAGCCCCTCCCAATCTGTTATACGCATCTAAGTTTACAGTACCTGGTATACCAAAGTGATCACCCATGTAGGTACTAACCAAGCTCAACGTTGCTTAACTTCAGTGATCGTACGAGAACCGGGCTAAGTGAGTACATCCAGTTAAAATGTGTTTCGCTGTGAGTGCGGTGTGGAATGTGGGAGATGTTAGTTGACCTTTATTCTATAGCAAGTATGAATGGGTTGGGTTTGTGTGGTCTAGCGTTAATTAGAGAGCCTGTTTGTTTTTAATGTGAAAATGAAAGCATACATGAGAAGAAAAAAGAAGGAAAGGGATAAAGTCCTCGTGGATTTATCGTCTGCTTCAGTGAAATTTAACATCTTGTCAATTTTGGATCTTGTCATTTGTACCCTCTTTGAACAATGACTTTTATTCCTACTTATCAAAAGACGAAAGTAAAATATGTATCATGGCGAAAAGAGAAAGTAAAGATAATAAGAATGAACGAAAGAAGGAAAGAAAGAAGGAAAGAAAGAAGGAAAGAAGGAAAGAAAGAAGGAAAGAAGGAAAGAAAGAAGGAAAGAACGAACGAAAGAAGGAAAGAAAGAAGGAAAGAAAGAAGGAAATAACGAACGAAAGAAGGAAAAAAAAGAAAAAGAAAGAAAGAAAAGAAAAGAAGGAAAGAACGAACGAAAGAAGGAAAAAAAAGGAAAGAAAGACGAAAGAAAAAGAAAGAAGGAAAGAAAGAAGGAAAGAACGAACGAAAAAGAAGGAAAAACGAAAGAAAGAAGGAAAGAAAGAAAGAAAGAAAAGAATGAAAGAAGGAAAAAGGAAAAAAAACGAAAGAAAGAAAGAAAAGAAGAAAAGAAAACGAAAGAAGGAAAGAAAGAAAAAGAAAGATGGAAAGAACGAGCGAAGGAAAAAGAAGAAAAAAGATGGGAAGAACGAACGAAAGAAAAAAAGAAAGAAAGAAAGAAAAGAAATCGAATGAAAGAAGGAAAAGAAGAAAAGAACGAACGAACAAAAAGACGAAAGAAAGAAATATCGAATGAAAGAAGGAAATAACGAACGAAAGAAAGAAAGAAAGAAGGAAAGAAGGGAAAAACGAACGAAAGAAGGAAAGAAAGATGGAATGAACGAACGAAAGAAGGAAAGAAGAAAAGAACGAACGAAAGAAGGAAAGAACGAACGAAAGAACGAAAGAAAGAACGAAAGAACGAAAGAAGGAAAGAAGGGAAAAAGAACGAAAGAAGGAAAGAACGAACGAAAGAAGGAAAGAACGAATGAACAAAAAGTCGAAAGAAGGAAAAAAGAACGAAAGAAGGAAAAAAGAAAGAAAGAAGGAATATGAGAATAGAGGACGCAATAAACTAGCATAGGTTTAACGTCTGTCTCATTAAAATAGAAAAAGTCGGTTTTTAATATTTTCATTTGTACCCTCTTACTTCTTTAAACAATGACTTATATTCACATTTATGATTGTTATTCAAATATTTGTCTAAAGATGATAAGTCCAAATACATAATGAAGCAATCAGTGAATTCCTATGCAACGCGTAAATAGCTTATTTAATTCTCAACTTAAGAAATACTATTAATCAGAAAATTCAAATAAAAAACCGTGAAAATTTCAAGAGTATTACTAGTTAATACATTCATGCTATAATTACATTTAAAAAAATTAAACCTCTTAATTATAAACTTCTTTGAAGTCATGATTTAAAAAATTATTTATTTGTTCTTTTCATTTCTATTGCTCTTAACTTGAATTGGTTCAGTGTCTGTATTCCGCGTGTGTAAAGAGGCGTTTGTCATTATAAACCAATGGGAATCAACTTGACAAAAAATCCTTTACTTAAGAAGAAATCGTTTGATTTTATTTCAAATAGAAAATGGAAGAAGTAGCCCCCCCCACCAAAAAAAATGCACAAAAAATTACACATGAAAAGATACACCCGCAGACAGAGATATTCCACCTCGTGAAAAAGCAAGAACAAACCAGCAAGCAGCGCATAGAGATAGACATTCATTGATAAAGAAAAGAAACACGTTAGTCCACAACAATAAACAGGGTCAGGAGTTTGCACTGACAATCTATCACGTGTTTGCAAGTACACATGCATAAAATAATTTGCAGCGCACTTCGACGTCGTGTAATGGTCAGTTTGATTCTCACTGGGTGCCAAGCCAAAAGCTAAGCAATAAGAAAAATAACGTCACTAGAAACAAAGAAAAGAGTACTAAACTGTTACATGATATCTTTCCTCCTATATGACAGTGAGTGCTGGAAAATCGCTTCAAAGATGGAGAGACTTGAAACACCAGTAATATGGATCCACAAAAATGTAACTGGGGATACCAGGAACTGAACATATGAGCAACGACTAGGTTTAAAGAGGAAATGGCAAGAAAAATGAAACTAATACATGATATGGTGCAGAATCCTGTGGCCAGAGATAAGTTCTTACAGCAGCCACCCTCTTGACCAAATGCAGTATTACCTCCTCAAGTCATTTGATGTATGCCTCCGTGTTGAATCTAAAGACCTGACGAAAGATGAATGGAGGCATAATGTCGCCATCACTAGGGAAACAAACACCTTCGTAATTACCATTAGACTCATCCAACTCTTTCAAAATACTCTGCATTGTCCTCAGATTGACACCCAAACACTCTGAAACGTTCGTATTGAAGCTTCCGTAGCGACTGGCATGCTGTACAGGATGCCGTTTCCAAATTGCTCGTGATGTGAATTGCGTCATAGGGTTCTTTTTCTCACAGATGTTGTACAACTGACTCAATTATACTGTTCAGTCGACAAAATCAAAAATACACGCGCGAAATTGAAAAATGTATAATGGCGACAATTTACACATCGCACGCCGTATATATATATATATATATATATATATATATATATATATATATATATAAAGTCGTAATAAAAGAAGCAGTGGATCGTATAGTGTTTTTGAACGCACACACACACACACACACACACACACATATATATATATATATATATATATATATATATATATATATATATATATAACATTTAATGGTACCTTAAAGTTTGTTTTTTCATTAACTATATATATATATATATGGTAAACCACAATAAATTTACGTCCATGTTCTTATAGGGCTGATCTGTTATCATCAATGTCGGATATTTAATAACAAAAGGATGAAAATAATATCCTGAGATTATACAATGTACATTTATAAAAATTCTCAGTGCCTCTCCTTCAGAGCTTTAGTTCGATGGAATCCCTAAGGAGAAAACGCTTCGAAAAGATATATATATATATATATATATATATATATATATATATATATATATATATATTCAGGCATATATTGTTGAATATAACAGACAAGGAATGTCTGTCATTTTTAAGTTTCAAGTTCGTATAATGGCTTTAGTTTCAGAAGAGAAATGAAGACAAAAACTGTCCATCATTTGTGTTCCTTTATTATGTAGTTCATCGTGTGTGTGTGTGTGTGTGATTCACAGACAGTGTCGTGATAGAGCGAAACAGTGTGTGTGATCCCCTTCCCTGTTTCGCTGTAGCTCACCAGTGTGGCTCACCAGTGTCCTATTTTTCCTCAAGCCAGGATTGAAATCCAATTGATTTGGCATCAGTTGGAGATTTTTTCCCTGAGCTATCAACTCCCGGCAGAGAGGTAGGTGAATTTTGACGTATTTATTTTAGGATGAAAACGCCATTGACTCAGCATGCTCAATTCATAGAAGACTTTTGCATCAGCAGTTGTCACTCTTTACTAATTCGTGCTTTTTTTTCTAAAGTGCTCGGCCGAATTTTATTGGGGGGGCGTACACACACACACACACACACACACACACACACAGACACACACACACATATATATATATATATATATATATAATACAATATAAAATATAAGATAGTATATTGCAAAAGAAAGTTGTAAGCAGCCTTGTTTAAAAGGTTGCAATCAATAAAAGATCTCAATACAATATTCCCAAAAATTTGAGTTGTAGAGCAAAACATAATCTAAAACTGGTGGAATCAGCTAAAATCTTTCATTCTCCCTGCCTGGTGATACCTGACGGTCGAAACAGGTAGCATCGTAGCTTGAGTTTTGGTGTTCCTGATTATATATATATATATATATATATATATATATATATATATATATATTACATAATGCGATTTATTACAAAAAATATGAAAAAAATCGTAATATCATATCCCATTAATATCAACTGTCAAATGCCTGCATTATTAACAAGTAACAGCTTAGAAAAGTTGTTCTTGTCCCTTAGGAGATTATCTAGCCTTTGATGAATAAGCACACAATTCTTATATTTACTAACATGATTTCATCATGAGTTGACAGCTCATTTTCGATTCATCTGATCAAAGTGAACAGGGTAAATTAACAAAGGCCTCGTGAGATGAGGCGAAGCCAAAACTAGTTGACGTAGCGGCCACATACTTTATAATTTATAAAGACGCTGTCAGGGGTGGGGGATAATGATCAGCGGAGAAATACCTGTAAATATGGATGAAATAATGATATTTGGGGAAAAAAAATTATCCATCAGAATTTCATAACGTATTCAGCGTAACAGAGTCATAATGAGAGCTGGTTCATCTTATAGTAGGCGTGGTTATCAATTCACCCTAAGGAAGACGATACCGCTACTAAGTTGCTAGTCGAGGGAAAGATATGAGAAGGAACGGGAAAGCCAGTCTTAATCAGGAAACAAGGGATAAAACCTCTACTCCTGTTCAAAAGACTTGAGAGGAGTGTGAACCTGGCGATAGGCGAATCTATCTACTCCTATTGAGGAAAAATAACAAATAAATAGTAAATAAAATTTCAGAGTTTAGGCAGAGACGTCAGAAATATAAAGTTGAAACTGACTTTAGAAAGAACAGGAAACTTAATCCTAAACAGGAAACAAGATTATAAAACAACTACTGCTGTTCAAAAGACTTGTGAACCTGCCAATAGGTGAACCTATCTACTGTTACTGAGGAAAAATGACAAATAAACAGTAAATGAAATTTCAAAGTTTAGGCAGAGACTTCAGAAATATAAAGCTGGGATTGACTTTAGAAGAAACGGGAAAACCAATCCTATTCAGGGAACAAGTGATAAAACCTCTACTCCAGTTCAAAAGACCTGAGAGGAGTGTGAACCTGGCGATAGACGAACCTATGTACTCCTATTGAATTTAAATATAAATGAAATCTTAGAGTTTAGGCAGAGACGTCAGACGTATCAAGTTGAAGTTGACATTAAAAGGAAAGGGAAACCTGTTCCTAAGCAGGAAACAAGGGATAAAATTTTACTGCGGTTGAAAAGTCCCGGGAATATGAACCGGAATGAGTAGTTCCAATTTCCATGAGATTCCTACTTAGAACGTCACTTGGTGTTCAAATTTACTTAAGATCTCAAGTAGAACTCTCACGTTCAACTTTTTACCGAAGATACGTGCAAAATGTCGGCTGCTGGAATTATCCTCCATTTTGTATTTACAAAATCGGATTAGACTTAAATAGATGTATTGCTGTTATATCTAGAAGAAAACTGATCAATCTTCATTCTCCAGTCTTTAGAATTTAGTTTGGTTTGTTTGCATATCTATTCCTTCTAGGTCATTTTTTTTGGTAATTCTTTTTTTTTTTAATATTAAAATCTTTTTCTTGAAATATTCTGTTTTTTAATATGTATTGCTGGAAATGTTTACTATAAAAATGTATTTTTATACTTTCATAGGGTTTTGATCTCAGGCTGGAGGCTCACTATTTGCCCATAGATGGGACCCTAACAGGTGTTACCACTCCAGGTCGGGATGGTCCGGGAAACAGCAGCAATCAAGCGGTAGTTACACGCTCCTCAAAACCTCCCGATCAGACTCCATGCTGCCGGATGTAGTTTATCGTCATACCTAGGAAGCAGTCTTGAGTAATTCTTGAGAGTGACAACAGGTTTCGTCTCTGCAATATCTTTTCCAAAGACATAACGTTGAAAGTCCTGTAATCGATGCTGGAATTCTGGTTAAAAGAATGATTTGAAAGGCTGACTTTTATAATAGCAGATTCTTCCCATATGAAGAATTTGGTACAATCATATTCTACCCTCGCTATTCTATCGCTATTTCCATGGCAATTGTTCAGATGAGCTTCAATCTTTAGTTCAACCAGTTCAAACCTTTAGTGGGTAGGACACGCCATGCCACTCCCAGGAAGTCGAACTAGCCACATTTCTTCCGGGTTCCAAATGTAAGTTGAAAGTTCCATAGACTTTTTTTTTTAAAGAACTGTCACATTTGTACTCCAGTGTGTTTGCTTCCCTGGAGAATTTAATCGTTATTTCTTCAGACGAAGAGTCAATTGTCAAATTCCGTCCTTATCTTAATAATTATAGTCATTTCTTACTGCCCTCTTTGAGTTATATCATACAGTTATTTTTTTTTTTTGGCATAAAGATTTTGTTGGCTGGAATTATCTACTTTGAGTGGCTCTTAAGCCTGTATTGAGTGAAGTTTAGTTTATGAATAAAATCTCAGTATTTTGGTTACTGGATGAAAATCGTGAAACCAGAAGAACTTGAAAGCTGTACTGGTTTCATGATTTTCGGATATTGTCTAGGGATATTGGCAGATTAATGCTAAATATTTTAATATAGCAACAGCATAAAGAATGTTTAGCATCAAATTTATCGATAGTGACGGAGCCAGCTGCAGTGTGATGGCAACGTGTTTACTTTCGTATTATTTTTTAATCACTGCAGACATTCTTGCACCGTGATACATTTCTATAATTAGAAAGTAATGTACAGGCAGAGTGATGTCACCACAGGTGAACGAATAAAGTTATATTTCAGAACTGATAAGGGATCACACGTCGGACATTTTATTTTATTTTACAGAACTGGAGACGCCAGCTGGGACTATACTGAGTATTGTGCATATTAGCTTCTTTGTTGGAAGAGATATTTAAAGTGCCAAATGGTTCTGTAGCAAAGTTAATAAAACAAGACATATGCTGCTTTGGTGACAGTTATGCTACCCCCCTCCCCCACTCCACAAACCAACGCGTTACAAGGGTTCTGTTTAAAATATGATGGCAGATGCTCCACGGATTATCTGTTTTTTGTTGTTTTTTTTTTATCTTCATTTTCAAGACAAGTACTACAATGAAATCAACGATTGACTTTTTTTCCTATAAAAGTATAAAGTTATACAACATGTGTGTCATTATGAAAATTATAACCTTTCACTTTCTGAGGTTTAAACTAAAGTTTTATTAAAAAAAAGTCAAATAACCGAGTAATCTCCCTTTATGCTTAATATGAAATTAATATTCAGTACTTTAAAAATTAATTATTTTTGTATATAGAATAAAATCCTATCTCTTTTAAATACTAAATATAATTTTAAATTTAAAAAAAAACACGTTAATCAGATGGTTTTATTAAAATGTAAATTACGTAATGGTCAGTCTAAAAACACACACCTACATGCACACACACACACACACACACACATATATATATATATATATATATATTAAAAATGGTTCACGTGTTCTCTTTATAATATGTAATATAGATAAGTTTAAAACATGGACAAATGTAAAGGTACGAATATAATCAGTACAATATTAACATTTATTAAATATTAATTATTAACCATATAACACAAATGAAGCGCGGAGAGAAAGGTTTTAAGTTCGGAATTTTTGGACACAACTGTAGCCTTCAACAATGGACCAAGGAATTAAACAGAGAAATGGGAATTCGTCACCAAACAAAAAAAAAAAAAAATGAAAGAAACATCGGTCGATGAGTAATTACCATTTCTCTGTTTCTTCTCTGTCTCTTGTGGGTCCTTCTGCACTTCCATCTGCAGATAGCAGTGTTTTTCATTGAAAAATTGACCGTGCTATCGGCTCATGCCAAAATTTGTCATTGGCCAGCAATCTTGTTTCTCATTAGCAAATAAACATAAAAAAATACCCTTTCCACGTATTAAAAAAATCTGAAACACTACAAACAATTTTGCCCGTTCACCGCTTGATCGTTAAAAGCCCATAAAAAATTCACAAATTTTAACACACAACCCGTCTGGCCCTTCTGAAGAATGAACTTTTCTGAAAACATGTATAAAAAAAAAACAACGACCTAGATGATTATGCATAAATCATTAATATATTTTTTACAAATAATAAAAATAACATTTTTATGTATTGTTCCGTGTGCGGAATACTGCATTGCAGATGCCAACTATTGACAAATTTGCTCCCAAGTTTTTGAATCTGGACACTTCCTCCAGTTGTTCGTCGTCTAGGGTGACGCTCGCACTGGTGTTGCTTGTTTTATTAACCATTATTTAGGATTTATCTGTGTTGAGTTCCATTCCATATGCGCCGAAACTTTCAACAAGTTTGTTGGTCATCTACGGCAGTTCAATTGTTACTGATGCCCATAAGATCACTATTGTCTGCGAAACGCATGTTGTAGACGTTTGCCACCAACATAGATAGATTTTCTTAATAGTGGATGGTTCACTACATAATTCCCTCCATGTTGAAGAGTGCTGGAGAGATAGGGCACACCTGCCTGACACCAATAAGCACCTACTTGGTTACTTAAGAGAACTGCAAGGGTGGAATCGACATAGAGGGTCTTGATGACTTTTATGAGCTCTACTTGAATCTTCTGAAGAAGAAGCCATCATGCTATACCCTATCAAATACTTTCTTGAAATCAATGAAATTATGGAACAGATCTCTCTGGTTTTCAAAATGTTTCTCGATGAGAACTCTACAGCTGAGGTCTTGTGCCGTGTTGATCGTTCCGGTGGCAAAATATGCCTACTCTTCAGACAATTGATTTTGGATTTCAGACCGGTGAGGATAGTAAAACCTTGCTTGGGTGGCTGATCCGTCTCATCGTTCGATAATTCTTGCATTGCTTGAGATTACCGTTCTTTGGTATGTATTTCACCAGTGACTAGGATCACTCTTTTGACCACTTCTCTTTCCAAATCCGTTGGTATATAGCTTTTAGGGCCTTGACAGTTTCTACACCTCATTTTACACCAACTCAGAGGGTACCTTGTTCACTCCATGTGACTTGCCCAGTTTCCGGCTCTTTACTGCCCCTTCTACCTTCTTTTTAAATAGTGGTGGAATGTCTTAGACTGCTGTGGGGTACTGGTCAGCTTGCAGAAAAACGGTATTTAGATTAAGCTCGAAATTGTACAGGCCGTCGCTCTATTTGCCGCACCTCTTCAGAATTTCATATCTGTTTGTCTCTAGCTTGCCATCTTTGTCATCTATGACATTTGATCTTGGCTTATTGGTCTTGGTGAGGGTTTGAGGGTATTGTAGGCCTTCTTGCTGTCACCTGATTTTATGCTCTTCTCAATGGCGCTACACTGAAAGTCTATTCCCTCCTATTAGGCTGCTCTTAACTTGTTCCGCGCTTCATCACTTGGGGGCTGTATTTCCTCTTACCTCTCGCTTCTTATCGCACAAATCCAGGACATCTTTCGTAATTAAATTGAAAATTAAATTTTCTTACGTGGCTTTATCAGAACCTCTTCAGCTGTTGTGAGTAGAACTGATGTCAAATGCGAGAGAATCTACTTCGCTGTCAATCTTGAGGGTTGCAAACTCACCGCCGACTTGTGCCTGGAAAACATCTGCGACTTCAGGATTCTTCAGCCTCTCTAAATCAAAGTGAATGCGGGAACTCTTATGGCAACGTTTTGTTTTCAGATTCAGCTTGAATGTTGTCATCACAAGGTGTTAATCGCTACCGATGTCTACGCCAAGGAACCTCCTCGTATTCGACTTGTTATATTGCATAGCTCTTTGACGTTAACTTCTCTCTCAGTTGCTTTGTTCGGAGTTAAAATAGAACAGCAACAAAGGAATTTTAACTTAACTATTATTTTATAAACCACGTCGACGGGTACATCTTTTAACAAGCCAGTGGGGTTGCTTTCTCATCCCCGACTGGCGAGCGATTTTCCTGATACGAAAGTACCGCATCTACATTATATGTCGGGTAAAATTTAACTCCCTGAAAGCCCTTTCTATATCTAACATTCCAACGCTAGATTTAGCCAATCACAATCAACTTCCTTTGTTTTTCTGTATTTCACCTTAAAGGTGAAAATGAGGAAATCAGAGCAAAAATACAATTCTCTAAAAATAATAGTTTGCTAAATTGTTATTCACAGTTGACGCTGGACTTGAATCGTTGCGGAAACAGAATGAAGTCAGTCTTGTTGTCGACTTTCCCCGTTAGGTGAGTGCCAGCTTCGAGACAGCTTAAGATGGTGTACAGTTTTGGCCAAGGTGAGGTGGTAGCTTCTCGAAAACTCAAAACTATCATTGTTCTCTCCGATGCACAAGTTTTTTGTATACAATCGGACCTAATTTGCTATTCCAATCCCCTTGTACAATGATGGTATTTTTCTTGTGAACATCCGCTATAATGAATTCTATAGATTCGTGAAACCCTTCGACTTCCTCATCATCGTGGTCTGAATTTGGAGCATACGCCTGGGTGATGGTCATGTGCGGTTTCGCTGATACACGAATGAAGATGATTCTACGGAATGTCATGTATTTCCTGTGTCCGTACTGATGTTTCTTCTTCTGTCCAGCGAGTCAGATCTTGTGTCTATCTTCTGTTGGTGTTTCACCGATACGAGTCCATCTGACATCTTACAGCCAAATGATGTCCCAGGTGTAGTTTTTTTAAATTCTGTCGCAGTCATCAATGCTGAGAAGGTTCAACGTTCCGATGATTGTACCTTGCGTTAGTAGGTTGACGGTGCTTATCGCTCCAGTCGTCCACTTGTCACGCCCGTCCTGGAGTGTGTCGATGGGACGCGCGGCCGTTGTTGATCCGTGCCTCGTCCGATCCGGCATCGTGTTGCTTTCATTCTTCGTCCACATGATCCTTTTAGTGGGCTTTCAGATAGCTTTGCTTTTATCACATATTCGATAATAATATTATTATTATTATTAATAATAATAATAATATTAATAATAATAATAATATTAACAATAATAATATCAAAGACCTGAAATTGAAATAGAAAAAATGTGAAATTGAAAACAAGAATAATACCAGTGGTAATAGGTGCACTTGGAATTATAAAAATGGAACAAAACAACACATTGAAAGAATCCCTGAACCCCAGCTTAAGAGACATACAGAAAATTGTCTTATTAAGTACAGCACACACACTAAGGAGAACTTTGTCTATGTAACGCTAGCAACTTCATCGGAGATAAAAAAAAAAAAAAAAAAAAAAAATTAACATGAAATGTGGCCATAACAACACACCACGACCTGCCTTAGGTCTTTCCGCAGACTTGGTAGGTAGTGTGTCCATAGCAGAAATAATAATAATAATAATAATAATATTACCCAGACCCGGTTACGGAGATAGGACCTGTTACAATTCTATGGGATTACACAATACACACTGACAGAACAATCAAGGCCAACCGGCCAGATATTGTTATTAAAGACCACAAACAAAAACGGTGCCTCCTTATTGATATGGCAGTCCCTACTGACTGCAATGTATCTTTGAAGATATTCAAAAAGTTGTCAAAGTACAAGGACCTTGAAATAGAAATCTCGAAAATGTGGCATATGGGAACATCAACAATCCCTGTTGTAGTTGGAGCCCTAGGACTGGTTGGAAAAGATTGCAGTAGACTAATTGAATGGATTCCTGGAAGTCCATGCCTCAAGGAGATACAAAAAATTGTTTTGACAAGTACAGCCCACACCTTACGAAGGGCTTTATCTATGTAATTTAACTTTTTTTTTTTTTTTTTGTCAGTGGAAAGTGTCATGACGCCATTTCTAACCTTAGGTCCCTGGGCGGGACCCGGAAAGAAATGTGTAAACGCCAGAAATCAAAGAAAATGATGATAATAATAATATTAATAATAATAATAATAATAATAATAATAATAATATTAATAATAATAATATTGATAATAATAATGTTAATAATAATAATATTAATAATAATAATATTCGTATTTTGGCATTTCGCGAAATAAGAAAAAAATGAAAACAAAAATAAAAAGCAAGCAGAGGTCACTGGTGATTTTATAAGTATTTAATTGTAAATTAGAACATTTGTCTGCATCTTTTTACTACTTATCTTCTGGTTTTTCCTGTTTATTCTACATTAGTTATCATCTGTTTTTTTTTCTCTTCCATAAAATATCTTTTGTTCTCTGATTCTCGTACTTACCTATTATCTTCGTCTCCACATTTCTATGGACGAACATGGAATCCATCCCCGTATGAATGAGTATCTGTCACTCGTTTTAAGAAGCCATACGCATATGTGTCTTGATAGGAGCAACTAATAACATATACTGATCGGTATAACGCAACAATGAAACACAAAGAATATCCGAGATAAGAATTAAAACAATGTAACAATAGCAATTTCAGAAAGAAATTAAATGCCTAAAAATCCGTTTGGCTTAACCGAAAACCTCTTGAAAATCTGCTCGAACGTGAATGTCGCCTTGTTTTTAAAAGCGTTTTTTTGTATTGAAGCAGAGTTTAAAAATACAAAATTAATATGAAAGCCAAAATTGTCCTGTCGAATATGTTTTATCAAAGATGGAGAGACAATGATTTTTACTGAAGTAGATGGTTTTATAAGCACCACCCAAAATAAATTAGTCACTAATTTAAAAAGAAAAGTCTAGATTATACAAGCAGTATGTCTGTGCTGGCATTGTTGTGGCTTGTGTCATTTTCAGCATTATGTGCCTGATTTGAATGGAAGCATTCGTGTTACAGCGTCCGCTAGGAAATAATAAGAAAGCTGAGGCGTAAGTTCACATCACGTTCAAACATGGATTCCGTATGATCAGCGAAATTATTATTTTCATTGTAAAGACATCTTAAAAATTGATTCAGTGACGTGTTACAGTGGTTCCCATACTTTATTCTGGGCTGCATTTTCGGAATTAAAATTTGCTCGTGTCTCACCAAATTTTATGTCATAAAAAGTACATTTAAAAAAAACAAACAAACAAAAAAAAAACAGAGAGAGTTAAAGGGAGATAACCGTAGATTCGAAATTCGTGCATTATTATTGACTAGTAGCATGGCCTGGCGTTGGCCGTGATTGATTCAAAAATTGTACGACTCATACAGCAATCGCTATCACTTGACTTAAAATATTTTTGCCCTTCCTTGCCTTTAAAGAACTGCCCTTTGCCGTGCTGATGTTGCTATATGTCTTACTTCTTGCCTATCTCACACTGCGAATTTTTTCTAAGCTCTATACTAAACATTAAATCTGTTACGAAAAAAGAACTAAACAAAATGAACACAAAACGATCAGCTTTAAAAAAGAACTCGTAACTGGAAAAACCGAACGAAAAAAGAATGTTAACAACAAATATTTTTTTACAACCAACCCAATTCTGCGGAATCAGAATCAACGTTGAGTTTAAGCAAGCGAATGAGCCAATTGGATTAAAGTGACATGCAGATTTAAATTTTTCCCACTTGTGACGAATGCAGCTATGGATTTTTTTTGCATGCTAGTTAACATTCATGTCAGTCAGCTGTTGGCTCTCACGCTGGCCAATAGAATCTTCCTGCCTATTAGTGGCAGCCAGCTATAGGCTCTCACTCTGGCCAGTACAAAATGGCCGCAAATTACAAGAAAGCTGCCGTAGAAGCATGAAAATCTATTATTTCCACTATCGATGGGAGTTGTGAAATGTAAAGTCGTTCCTGGCCTTCCCGCTAACTTGGAGCATGTGCATGTAAATTTTGGTGAAAATCCGTCGAAAATTGCGGCTGTGCATTCGTTACACACACACACATCCTGCCTTTTATAGATAGAGATAACTCTTTCTTCCAATTTGCAAACCCTAGTTACTATATTCTTAATACTTGATATAATGGAAAACTATCACAATGCTAAAATCGGTCAATACTTATTTATAATCATTTATACTGGAGGTCATGCATCCAATTACAAGTAATCCATAATAATGTTTTAAATCCTATTTATGTTTGTCATATGAATTTTTTGAAACTATTTCTAAATATTTTATTGTCTTTCAATTATTCCGCCTCACCTCCTATCCTCTTCCGCCTCACCTGCTATCCTCTTCCGCCATATCTACGAGGCGCATCATACCGTTTGGGAACCACTGTAAAAAAATAATTTATGGCAGCATAAAAATGTCTGAAAAGTTGAGTAAAATCTTTGAAAATGTCGAAATCCAAATGAAATCTTCAAGAAATACACAAGAAAATTTATTCATGCAAACGTTACCCCGATAATATTCTTCTAAGGATGTGAGATGATTCCATAAGACCTGTGCTCTGAAATTCGATTAAGCTTGCTACACCATTAATTGGGAGATCTACAATTTCATCTTCTCTGCAATAGTTTTGAAAGAAGCGATCACGATAGGCATTTGTTGATATTTCGAAATGGCTCATTTTGGATTTTCAATTTCAATTTCACGGTAATTGTATTTATTAAGTCTATTGAATAAATTACAAGGCAAGTTGACATCATCATCAGGAATTCCTACTTCATTGAGTAAGCCTGTTTTATACTCTGGGTAATTCCTTACATTTATATCGTATTTATTAACTTTTATATATCCTTATCTCTGTACACAGAAGTATTACGACCGCATCACGTTGAAATATAGGTTCCGGTACAATCAACAAAGTCAGATAATGTCGAGCCTGATCAGTTGTTAGATGCGTGATCGCTTTGGGAACACTAGATATAGTAAATTTAAATGTACTGCTGATGGAAATGGTAATGGCCCGGCATTGTTAATCAGAGAACCGAGTTCAAATTCCCGTTGGGAACGTTATATTTCCTAATGTGCAAACACCCTTAGGAAACTTATGACACCACCTCTTTTCCTCTCCTGCTATTGGTTAATTATTAACGTTTGTATCACCAAACGATTATTATTTTCGAAATGATGACTTTAAATAACCTGCAAAGGGTAGATGAACCGTAAAAAACGAATCAATCAATCAATCAACCAGTCGATATTTAGATCGAGAAGTTTCAGAGCACTGTTATATTTATATCCTTATCTCAGTGCGCAGGAGGCTTACAACAGCATCATGTTGATATACACGTTCCAGCACGATCATCGAAATTAAGCAAAGTCGAGCCTGATCACCTAGATGGATGACAGCTTGATAATACCAGCTGCTGTAAGTTTGGACGTGCGGGTGGTGTTATGGATAATAGCTCAGAATTGTTTATCGAAAAATCGAGTTCCAATTCCATTTCTTTTCGTTATATTCGTTTACACGCCAAAACCTTTGGACAAGGTATAAATCCACTTCGTTTCCCCAGATTGGTTATTGTCTGCCTACCAAAATTATTATAATCTAAAATTATTTTCTTTAAATAACCTGCAAAGGACATATAAGCTGTAGAAAACAAATCAACCAACGAAAGAAAGCCGAAGTGGTTAGAGCCATATGCAATTATGATAGAAGTGGTTTCAGAAAGGCGTCCTGGGTAAGACGATAAACTACGTCCAGTAGCAAGGTCTCTGGTCAGGAGGTTTTGAGAAACGTGGAATTACCTCTTAATTCCTGCTGTTTCTAGGTCTATCCTGACCCGGGTTGGTAGTATCTGTTACTGTCTCAAATATAGGCAAATAGTTAACCCCCAAACTAGTGTAAAACACTATGAAAGTGTAAAAATAAATTTTAATAATAGAAATACTTTGATTTGCCCCTCGTTAAAAAAGGCCTTGTGCCACATCCTGCCTCGCGGAGAGGGAAGTTAAATATCCTTGCTCCAGGAATTAGTTCGAGATTCGTCTCTAGCTGTGCTGGTCAAACTCTCTGCCTCCGGGCAGAGAGGATCCCCAGACGAGGCTATGTCAAAGGGCAGAGTCTC